AGCGCGCCAGAGAACATAGGAGAAAAGGCATCATCATCATCACACCCCACAAGACAAAATCATCAAAATACAGCGTAAAAAAGAGAATGCAAGAGAGCAACATAAAAACAAAGCGACAGCAGTTATCAACCTCTGTACAACATTGGAAAAAATAAAGCTTCATTCGTTTCAGCCCCATCTAGCTTNAAAAGAGAATGCAAGAGAGCAACATAAAAACAAAGCGACAGCAGTTATCAACCTCTGTACAACATTGGAAAAAATAAAGCTTCATTCGTTTCAGCCTCAGCCAGCTGACTCCTTAGAGGAGCGCATTTCGGAGGTAGTTGATGAGCGTCAGAGAGCGGTCAAAGTCGGCCTCCAGGCGACCCCAGCACTGGTCGGCGTGGCCGACGATGCGTCGGCATCGCTCCAGCAGCCNTCCAAGCGACCCCAGCACTGGTCGGCGTGGCCGACGATGCGTCGGCATCGTTCCAGCAGCTGCTCATCGCCGGCAATCGCCTCCAGGTGAATCTGCAGCGCCAGGCCGAGGTACGACTGGGCGAGCTCAAAGTCGCGGCCGCTGGCAAAGACGGTGGCCAGCAGCTCGAGCAGCAGGCCCAGGTAACGGGTGCTGCTGTTGTTGCTGCCATCACCCTGGTCTCCGCCCCCCTCGACCACCAGCATGCGCAGCTCTGCGTCAATCTTCGAGGGCCCGTATGCCTTCAGTTGGGCGAAGGCCGCCTGAAAGTGCTGCTCACGGGCGGTGGGCTCCTCCGCAGAGGCCGCCAGCTCCAGCAGTCGGGTAAAGTCGCTGAGGAGGTGCAGCTGAAACTTGCGCCCCTCTTCGCTTGCAGCAGCAGCATTTTCAGACTTATCAGCAGCAGCAGATGAAGATGGTAAAGAAAAAGAGGGCGACAGACCTGTGATGGTAGGGAGAAAGAAGGGCGCCGCCTTGGGCTTCTCCGGCGGGGCGATCGGTTTGTTGCGCTTCCGAATCAGGTCCAACTTGAGGAGGTTCTTCCAGCGAGAACTGGGCAGCGTCGACAGCGTGATCAGGTCGCTGGCCAGCTGCTCCGGACTGCGGTAGGTGTAGTCGATCNAAGATGGTAAAGAAAAAGAGGGCGACAGACCTGTGATGGTAGGGAGAAAGAAGGGCGCCGCCTTGGGCTTCTCCGGCGGGGCGATCGGTTTGTTGCGCTTCCGAATCAGGTCCAACTTGAGGAGGTTCTTCCAGCGAGAACTGGGCAGCGTCGACAACGTGATCAGGTCGCTGGCCAGCTGCTCCGGACTGCGGTAGGTGTAGTCGATTAGGTTCTCCTCATTGTCCTCCTCGTCCTTTCCTTCATTTTCATCTTCATCCTTGCCATCATTATCATCATCATCTCCATCCACTCCTTCCTCTTCATCAGAGCGAACCCTGGGCAGCTCAATCGTCCTCGCCACCTCCTCAATTTTCTTGACGTTGATCGGGGCGAGCGTGACCACCGAGTAGAGCGATAGGTTCGCCCAGAGGTAGATGCCCAGGTCGTCCTCGTGGGCGGTGGCGAGAAACTCGCCCGTCGGAGAGACGGTCAGCGAGACGCAGGGACTGGCCGTGCGAAAGACGTCCACCAGGCAGCCGGTGAGCAGGTCCCAGACGTAGATGAGGCAGTCGTCGCCGGCGGTGGCCACGTACAGCCGCCGTCCGTCGTTGTCAAAGGCGAGGTCGTTAAAGTGCGGTGACCGGGTGCCCACCAGCCGGCGGACCACCTTCTTCGTCTCCAGGTCGACGACCAGGAGGCGGCCACCGGTGAGGCCGACGGCGAGGAGGCTGTTCTCACGCTGCAGCGCCATCACCTCCACCGCGTCGCCGACCCTCAGCGTGCCAATGGCTTCGCCGCGGGCAAAGCGCCAAAAGTGCAGTCGGCCGTCGGCGCCGCCGCTCACCACGAGCTGATTCAGCGCGTCGGCGACGACGCCCTTCACGGCAGCAGAGTGGGCTGGCTTGTCAGCACCACCGCCGTATGTACAGCGGTGCAGTCCCGACTGGACGTTGAAGCGGTCCACGTGGCCGGTGCTGTAGCCGAGAAGGACAAAGTTGCCGCAGGCGGTCATCGAGAGTGCGGTGGCCGCCACCGGGTCTTCCTTCTGTTTAGCGCTGACGCCCCTGAAGCGCTCCGGCAGGAAGCGGTGCTCGCCCATCTTCATCCGTTCAAAGCTCCAGCTGGTGGCAAAGGGCGCGCCGGCGTGCAGCGCCACCAGGTTGCACCACTCCTTCTCGCGGGTGGTCTCCGCCGCCAGCTCCACAATCGCCGGCATGACGGCCGTGTCCCGGTGGACGCCCTTCTTCTTCGCCGCTTTGCGGTTGTAGCTGGCCGTCCCCAGGTTGCGACTCTTCCGCTCCGAGTAGATGAAGAAGGCGCGCAGCGAGGCGTCCAGCCCGCCGCTTAAAACGTAGTGGCCCCGGGCGCCGTAGAAGCGAATGCGCCGAGGTGGGCGCTGGTGGCCCTCTCGAGCGTACAGCTGTCGCCCGCTCAACTGCAGGTCGTCAAAGACGTACACCTTCAGACTGTTGTCCGGACTGTTGGTCACCAGCAGTGGCTGTTTGCTGATGAACTGCGCGCCCACAATGGGGCCCTGGTGAAGGTCGCGCATCGCCACCTCCAGCCGCTGGTCGTCTAGGTTCCAGACGGCGAGGTGGCCATTGTCAGCGGAGGAGGACACCAGCAGGGCCTTCGTAGCAGCGTCGTCTGTGCGAAATGAGAGATCAGTGATCGGGCCCCACTCCTGGTAGAACTTCATCAGCGTCTGGTCCTGCTTGAGATGGTGCAGAGCAATCAGCCCCGAGGCGTGGCCGATGGCAACGATGTGCAGTGCTGGGGCCTGCACCAGTTTGGTGACGCCCGAGCCGAAGCCAGTGAAGCTGAAGATTAGCTTCTGCTTGGCGATGTTCCACAGTTGTAGGGCTCCTGTTCCGTGTGAGCCAAAGAGTACCTTGTTGATGTAGGTGGCCGGGTGGAGCATGGTGCTGATGACAAAGGCCGCCTCTTCAGGCGCTCCAAAGGGAACGCTCATCTGCAGCTCCTCCGAGTCAATGTCCCAGACGTAGAAGGTGTTGGAGGCATCGACGGCGAGCAGCTGCGGGCCAAAGACGAGCAGATGTGTGATGGCAGACTCGGCTCCGTTGTACGATTTGGCTTTCTAGTTAAGTAAAAAAAAGTTAATAACAGCTGAGTAATTTAAGTCAGCGATCATACCCATTTGTGACCGTACTTCCAGGCAAACAGCTCCGTCTCTGAAGCGGTAAAGAGGTAAAGAGAGTCGGCGGCTAAAACTTTGATGTTTGTAGAATGAGCGACACCTGCAAATTGAGTATTGGCATTAGTAAAAGCTGCAAAACAGATATTCTAACTTCCAAAAACTTACAAGTTTCAATCAGCTGAAGCTTCTCGTTAAAGACAAGAAAACTTCGCCCGACGGCGGTTACAATTTGAAGTTTGTTGATCTTGTCGATGTACCGAATCAGTGCGGGCACCTCAGAGCTAATCAGCCCCAGCGAGCGGTAGCCCTCAAAGAGACGGCTTGAGGTGGCCACTGTAGCCATGTTCGTGAGTTCTTCTTCTTTCTTGATTGACAATGATGCTGATGAAACCAGATAAAAGATGCTCAAACTTCAGAAAAAGCAAGTGAAACTCAAAGAAACACAAACACACGCGGCGGCAGAAGCAAAACGTGTTTGCGGTGTAAATCGCCACCACTGTTCGCACCTAGGTTGACATAGCCTGATCGCGCGATTCTTTTTTTTAATTTTTTCGAATTTTTAACCAGCATCGCACGAAGTTCGAAAACAACTCCCACTGTTGATGCACTATTAAAGCCCCATCATCACAACCAGACGTCCAGCTTTTGCCTAATTTTTGTTGATAGTGAAAACCAAAATGTCTCAAATGAAATCACGCTCAAGCTGCAGCAGTGAACAGTCGAGGACGCCGATGTCGCCTCACTCTCCTTGTGGTGGCCTTTTCAACCAGGAATCATCAACGCCCTGGCTGGTGGACCGCTCCCGTCTGCCCCGTTGGTCGCGCACCAGTTGGATCATCTACGGGTACCGGCCGCTTCGTCCCTCTGTCACCTACTGCCTGGGCACCATTTTCAAGATGCACAACGAGTCGGCGAACATCTGGACGCACCTCTTTGGCGTCCTCCTCTTCCTCGCCATCGCCTTGGGCGTCTTCAGTGGACAGCACAAGGCGTTAGCGGAGCTTCCCATGTCCACCGTTGACTACCTCCTCCTGGGCATGTTCTTCGTGGGTGCCACCACCTGCATGACACTTTCCGCCTGCGTGCACACCTTTGGCTGTCACAGTCAGGAGGCGGTGCGTCTCTTCTCGAAGTCCGTCAAACATCCTTGTTGACAACAACAATAACACTTCTTCTTTTCCCCAGACTGGACTACGTCGGCATCACCCTTCTAATTGGCTGCTCCTTCGTGCCCTGGCTCTACTACGGCTGGTTCAACTCGCCCTGGTGGGCTGTCTTCTACATTGCCCTGTCGTGCAGCTTCGCCCTCGGCTGCATCATCGTCTCGCTGATGGACCGCTTTGGCGAGCGCCAGTACCTGCAGTACCGGGCAGCGCTCTTCCTCGGCGACGGCCTCTCCGCACTTCTGCCCGCCGTCCACTGGCTCACCCGAGAGGCGTACCATCAGGGAAAAGAAGACTTTCTGCGGAAGAACCACTGGCCCGGCATATTGCTGGCTATCATGGGCGGCTCGTACACCTTCGGCGGCCTGCTGTACATGTTCCGCGTGCCGGAGCGCTTTGCCCCTGGCCGCTTTGACCTGTGGTTCAACTCGCACCAGCTCTTTCACCTGATGGTCGTCGCCGGGGCGCTCTTCTACTACCACAGTCTGACGCAGATCATGCACCTGCGGCTCACCGAGCCGGGCCACTTCTACAACTGATGCTGCTGCCATGCTTTGTTATATTCTTGCACCGGGCTCGTTTTTGTTGTTGTGATTACAAGGGGCATTGTCATTTGTTTCAAGAACTAGGAGTGCTTTTTCTGTAGCAGTGACTACTGAACAGCTTGTACACTTCGCCCGCTTTTGTTTGAGAAGTCTTACCTGCAGATGGTCGATCTTGAGCCACTTTCCTCGTGAAGAGAGCAATCTGCGTGCAGTAGCCGGTGACCTGTTCGGTGTCCGCTGCCAGCCGACCAACGCCGTCCAGGTGGAAGCGGTAGTCGTCGTACTGCTGAACGACGCCAGTGCACCAGCTGGCAAACTGCTCTCTCGTCCACTCAAACTTGTGGTCAGCATCCCGGAAACCATTGCTGCTGCTGTTGTTGTTGTTCTTGCTGTTGTCACCTGGTTCTTTGCCATCTTCAGCATCAGCATCCTTCTTTTTTGCCTCTGCCACTGCCCGTTGAATCAGCGAATTGTACTCGGCATTGGGCGTCGTGATCACCACCAGCTTCGGGCGAATGTGTCCAAAGACGGTGCTGACAAAGGCGGGCAGCTCAGTTTGTGGCCACAGGTGCTCTACCAGTTCGATGGCGGTGACAGCGTCAACTTGGTGATCACCACCTCCACCAAACCGACCATCAGGCTGCAGCGCCGAGCCGGTGTAGAGGTGGACGGTGAGCTGGTGCTGTCGCTCGGCGAGGTAGTCCATCGCCGAGGGTCGGACGTTCCGCTGGGCGAACTGCAGGTGGTGAGTCTGAAGGTCCAGGCAGTGGATCACCCTCAGAGAGGGCAGCTGCTTGAGGAAGCGCACAAGGTGGCACTCGTTGCAGCCCAGGTCGAGGACAGTGCTGATCGAAGGGTCATTCTCGTTGTTGTCCTTGTTGTTGTCCTTGTTGTACCGCTGAATGGCGTTTCGCGTGAAGATGTACCGCTGGACGGCCATCGAGGGGTTGAAGAGGCAGTTGGAGCTGTACTCATCGTCAGACATTTTAGGTCGAAGCGAATTCTTCTTCTTCTTCTTCTTCTTCTAAAAAGCAAGCGAGTGCACTTTGGAGAACAACAAAACACGTGAGAGTAATGCTCCTGCTCAAACGTTCGCGGCGAACGGTTCGCCTACTGATAGCACAAACGATAGACAGAATGGAACTGTTCACAAGCACAGTATTCTATATTGAAGTGTGACACCTTTTTGTAGGTCGTATAGTTATTGCAATGTGTGGTTTATGATTCTGTCAGTATTAAAAAACTGCCAGTTGTAAAAAGCACAAAGAGCCACAGTTTTTATCAATGATAGAAAATTATACACCAGAAAATAAGCAAAATACAATCCATAAAAAAAATCATGCACAAGTTGCCAATAAAAAAAGATTTTGCTGTCACACGTTTGCCAGTGTTAGAGTTTTTTTCTTTTAAACTTCTAATCAATGAACGGTGNTTTATCAATGATAGAAAATTATACACCAGAAAATAAGCAAAATACAATCAATAAAAAAAATCATGCACAAGTTGTTAATAAAAAAAGATTTTGTTGTCACACGTTTGCCAGTGTCAGAGTTTGTTTCTTTTAAACCTCTAATCAATGAGCAGTACGACCAGTTAAAAACAAAATCAATGTTGGGGTTGTACTGGGATCCCTGCAGGTAATAGCCAAGACGAGTTTCAATTGCATTCAGGTTAGCTGCTAAGGCGATGCAACGAGCGGGCACTGAAGGTGATGGGAGCAACAGGGAGGGTAGTAGATCATTTCCAATTAGTAGCTGCTTAAAAGGCTCATCTGGCAGGTCAAACAGCGGTATACTAAGCAGATCGGCAATAGACTTGATAAGAGAAGATTTCATTATATGGTTTTCACTTTCCATTGAAACGGAGGTCAATTGGAGCTGAGCTTTTGTGAAATGGTTTCCATTAAAATTTCCAATTTCTACGTCTACGAATTCTCTTTTTTCCTTGTTTTTGTATTCAACCACTTTAGATGGCTTAAGACTGAGCTTTTTGGAAAACGTTTCAGTAATGCAGGAAATCGTAGACCCAGTGTCAATCAAAGCCATTACTGTTTTAGCGCATGTGTCACTTTTTATGCTGAGTGGAAGTCGAGAAGAAATTTCGTACGGCATCAAATCAGGACCAATTGAACTGCCGCTCAGCCACTGCAAAGCTAGATAAAAAATGGAAAGCCTGTACATTTCTATCGTGTATTCGACCACCACCAAGAGAATGAATAGAAAGAAAGTGAATGCTGATCTGATTATAGATATGCGGTAAGTGAAAGAGGCAATGAGAAGGTACTTGAGAACAAGGCCAACAAGGCAAGTAGGCAAAACTATAAAGATGGCATTAATAAAGATGATCAAGTAAATGATGGAATCTAGAATAAAAAAAATAAAATGATCGGTTTTCAAATAAAAATTAAATTCTTACAGGTGTATTCACTCCAGCTTGGCTTAACATTGGCAACTTTAAAGGTCAACAGTTTGTCTATCTCTTCTCTTTGAGTTGTTGACAGACCATTATCAACTTCTTTATCATTTTTCGTTGGGTACAGTGTTTCCTTAATCTTTTTA